CCACGTTCATATTGATCTTTAACCTTTCTTGAAAGGTTGAGAAACTTAGGATGAGAGAACAACAAATGACCAACTAATCCAATTAAAGTGGATATCAAAGGATAAACTTTAATAATATGCTCGGAACTTTACTTAAATGCCTGAAACAAAAGATGGTTTCAAAAAAGTGTTTACTATAGTTGGAACGTTCAAAAGTAGCATAATCCACAATAAAACTTTAATTTACTAATAAAATACACTACAGCGGTTGCTGACAGAACACCTACAATTTATCGTAAACATAGAAAAGAGATGCCAGATAGGAATTGCAGCGGACACTAATAAAGAAAAAGAAATAACATTGCACCAAGTGATGTATAACAGAAAGAGATGCTGACAAGGAGAATTTGAGCATGTTGACAGCATCAGGCTTTAAAAAATGTTCATCATTCTCCGGAATTTATTAAAGCAATGACCATTGTTTAAAGATATCATTCTAACCAGGCAGTTATAAAGCCGACCCTGATCTTTTCCGTACCTTAGCAATCTCTAACCGCTACACCTCTTACTATTATTCGATTATCTCTTTTCAGTTTGTCTGTACTACTCATGAACCTTTTTTCTAACTTAACAAAAACCTGTTTAAAACCCAGCAAATGACTGCAATCCCAAGTTGAAACAAGACAGAAGATACGTCCATTCTTACAGATAATTTATTCAGAACTGCTAATTCTGATCGTCCCAACTATATGGAATTATCTGTTGTTATTTCTTTGACTCTAATATGTACAATACCAGACAACAAAATTGTTCTTTATTGGCTCCATAAAACCCCCGAGTTTTCACCCTCGTTTTCCCTCACCTGCCATTCGAATATTATTTTTTTTTATTAATACCTAATGTGGTCAAATTTTGCTTAACTACAGATTTATAAAAGAAATGAATACACAAGGGAAATACTTTTAAAGAAATTAATTGTTGAAAACCTCATTAAAGCTGAAGATATTGTTTCAATTTTTAATGTCCGCCAATGTCCAGATAGGACCTTTGAGAACCTTATTATATCCTGAATTATCTACGCAGATTATGTCAACGATGTTGAAACGAAACCCGTGTGACCAGAGTTACAAACAACAACTCGGAGTTTTGTTTTGTATCTGTAGTGCATGTTCGATAATAATAGCTGCTAGTATGACCGTAATGGAGCAATTTCACGGCCACCCTTGATATAATAGGGGAGATTAGAATGCGTCGGTGTGAATCTGTATGTCACGGATTTAGTTACCGAAGGCCACGTGACACCACTTGTACCAAACATGCCCCTTCACGTCATGCTAGTGTTGTACCATTATCATTAGCTACAGTTGTTTTGGAATAATTCAAAAATGACTTCTGCCTCATTGGTCCTACTTTAAGGACTTGGTGGAATTTAATTTATTGACGTCAAATAAAAAAGCTGAATATTAATGTGAAAATTCATTATTAACTTTTATCCACTACAAATTACCTCAAGTTAATGAGAAAAAAATTGTTGCTCATGTCACGCGCTCGCCGTGAATTGAACCCGGGACATTTGGCGTGCTGCGACCACTAAGCTGACGACAGCAACAAACCGAGCTCGATTCCCGGCGAGAGTGTAACAGCAACAATTTTTCCTTATTGACTTGAGGTAGATTGTGGTGGATAAAAACTAATAACGAATTTTCACATTAATATTTAATATTAACCACTATTGAATTTCAAAGTATTTCATATGGTATAAGATCAAATTCTCAAAGCAAATTCATAATTAAAGTAAAGTAGATCAAAGGTTTGTATTCGTTTTCCGAATCCAATTCATTGTAGATATAATTTTTATTCAAAAAGAGAAACACTTACTTCAAGCAGTAGGAGGTGTGCTCTGTTTGTACAGCATATTTTCGCATTCAATCCCTTGCGAGATAAAATATTCATATTCGGTAAAAGGGATCAGGTGCAAACATAACACTCTAAAAGATGCTACCAATATATCACTGGCAAAACAATTTTCATTCATATATTTTTTCCGAAAATACACCTTTTAATAGTTATAACAAAAATGGGGTCCACTACGTGTTTATTCTGACCGTTTGGGTTCAACGAAAATGGACATGTAAAAAACAGTTCTAATTCTCGTTGCTCTTACCTACTGTAAACACTTGGATAATTTAACTATACTTATGTTAGGGGGAGAATGCATATTCGGTTTTTATTCCAAAAATTGTAAAAACAACTAAACGGGAATTCAAACAGATTATACAGAAGGCGAACTTTTAAATCTTCGCAGTTATTCAACTAATTGAATGATGAGTGAGCCAAGACGTTTGAACTAATATGAACTACCAATGATGCAATGAACCACTGGAAAACTTTAAGAGAAACATAAGAATGAATATAGAATTCTGAAGGCCTAATGTCAAAGTTCAAAATTAAGTTTATCTCTCCGTTTTTTGTTATGAAATCATTTAATAGACTTGCCGAACCTGTTCAGAGTTAGACGGCGGACACTGTTGTTGGTAGTGCATGGAACTTAGGTAGACAACCAACTATACTTCAGAACATAGCTATTTAGACCCGACCACTCGAATGCGTCAAAATTGATGATCTTTAATTAAAGATTCTAATTAATCGATAATCCCAGAAATCGAAACTAAGCCTACGACAAAGTTTGATCTTTTAATTAAACGTTTTAATAGTCATCTAGTTCCAGAGTATAATATTATGAGATTGAAATCGGATCAAATTTTAGATACAAACCATGTGATTGTAATGTTTCTGATTCGTTATAAGCTGCGGCTGAACATCGCACATATTATCACCAATAGTTTGATGATTTTTATCATGTAAAGGTTGAAACTGACAATGAAAAATTGTGGAAAATTATCGGAGATTTTCGTCTGCCTGATGAATATTTGGTTGTTGTCTTTCGTTTTGCGATGATAATAAGTGTTGTAGGTAATTTTAATCGTGCGAACAAAAGAGGCAGTTCTATAACTCACCGTTTGTAATCAGCGGATGAGTTTATAATGGCAAAAATTACACGGCACCAGCGTTAGGAAATCAAAGGCATACATCAGAATTAGCGCTCATATATGGGGCCACGTAACCGCGGAATTGTCTGTGGTGAAAATAACTGTTCTGTAGCGCATCATTTCGAGGAATTTTATGGTTCCATAGAAACGGCTAACTCTCGCCTTTTTGTTTTTATCGTCAAATTACCATTCGCGCCGCTCAAAGTTTCCGTTATGCGACGTTTTCTCGGTTTATGGGCCCTTATTCGGCCTCGCAACCGACCATTCCAATATGAAATTAAAGCAGAACTTTATGTGGGAATATATTGGTTGATCGGCAAATGAAAAAATCATAAATTCACCACAGTCATTACTCATCAAAATCCTTGTTTACATTCTAAACTAAATTAACCATCATTTAAAAATACATATCTGGTGCAAATGTTCATTGAAACATCCAATTTCAAGTAATGATAGTCGTGTGGCGTCGTGGGACACCCGCTAATAGGAACAAAATTTCTTATGTTCGTCGTCATCATCATCATAGAGTCATCATTCCTAAGATCGGTTAAACACGCAGCTAATCTTCGTATTTCCTTAAAACTAGAACATCCCACGTTGTTTACTATTTGTTTCTACCCCTAATATGTCTCTAAAAGAAGGTGTCCTACCAACCTAACTCGCCTATTTCCTATTGACTTCAATAGCACCTTCTTCTTCATTCATCATTCGCCTGTGATACCACATTTCAAACGTTTTAACCTTCTCTTTTCCACCCTGCCAATGTCCACGTTTCTGTGATTAAATCTGTAATTTCCTTAAGAATACCGATCATCATCATCATCATCATCATCATCGTCAGTCCTAAGACAGGTTGGACACGTACTTCCACTCTCTCCTATGATGAGCTAAACTTCGCATTTCCCTAAAACTAGAACAGCACACATCCTTAACTATTTGCAAACAGTAATCTAATCTAGGTCTACCTCTACCCCTCCTAACTTCTGTTTCTGCCTCTAATATGTCTCTGACTAGACCTTCATGCCTGAGAAGGTGTCCTACCAACCTATCTCGCCTATTTTTTATTGACTTCCTATTCTTTCCAATACCTCTTCATTTCTAACCTTTTCTACCCACGATATCCTCATCATCCGCCTATAACACCACATTTCAATCTAACCTTTTCTTTTCCGCCGCTCCCACTGTCCATGTTTCGCACCCGTACAACGCCGTGCTTCAAACATACACCTTTAACAACCTTTTTCGAATTTCTAAATTAACCGTTCGCGAGCATAGAATCCCTACTACTCCTTCCATCCTCACTTATCTGACTTCCTAGGTATCTAAAATCAGCCACTTCTTCTAATTTCTCGTCTCCTATCTTTATATTCACCCTTTCCCTACTTTTTCTTCCCTTGCATATCAGTATTTTAGTTTTACTATTATTTATTTTCATACAGTACTGATCTGTCAGTACCGCTTCCAAATTATTTAAAGCTATCCCTAGGTCTTCCTTACTAGATGCTAATACTGCTATATCATCTGCAAATCTAAGCATACTGATCATTTGCCCTTGCACATCTATCCCTACAGTTGTACTGTCTTTAACAATGTTGATGGCGTCTTCGATGTATAGATTAAAAAGTAGCGGTGACAGTGTGCATCCCTGTCTGACACCCTTCCTAGTATTTACTTCTCTACGATGCATCCCTAGCTCTATAACTGCCTGTTACTCTTTATACAAACTAAGTATCACTCTTCTATCTTTGTAACTCATCCCTCCTTAATTTAACATCCAAATGAAATCAACCATCACTAATTAGTAGTCATTTTAGTATGTTGAGTAGGTAGCTTTCTAACATTAAAACCTTTATTTTTCCTAATTCTGTCTAAAAAAGGGTTCGCCAAACATCAAACTGAGCAAGAAGACCATGAAGCGATTTTTAAATTTCCTGAATGATGCAGCACTGCGAGAATTGTTTCAATAATCACTTACTTGAACTCGTGCTTCCGTGAGGTCAATTTTCATAGCTATTTCTTCGCGTGTATATATATCCGGGTAATGTGTTTCCTGGAAAGCTCTTTCAAGCTCCTTCAGTTGGGCCGAAGTAAAAGTGGTCCTGATTCTTCTCTGTTTTCGTTTTTCTGTTAAAACACCATCGTGTCCCGGGTAAACTTTGTAAGGAAGACCACCTACAAACAAAGCTTAAATTAAATCAAAATACTCAATATTCCATTAGGTAACGAAAATAAATCAGAAAATTTTTTTTGGTTCCTGAATTGAAAATAACTTTTCAGTTATTAACAGCGAATTCGTTTCTTTTTTTTTTAATTTCAAACTAACCATTTTTAAAGCGATTGTCATTAAATGCTACTAAAATTTAAATTTCTGTCTGTTCCAAGACGTATATCAAGCAAGCACGACAAAGTTATATCTCTCATTTCAAAAGTGTACCATAATTTGTCGCTTATTTGTCACTAAAACCAAATATTCCAGGGCATATTTTAAGTAAGCATAATAAAGTTATATCTCTTATTTCAAAAATTCACCATAATTTGTCGCTAATTTGTCACCAAAACCAAAAATTCCAAAACGTATGTCAAGTAAGTACGACAAAGTTATATCTCTCATTTCAAAAATGCACCATAATTTGTCGCTAATTTGTCACCAAGATCAGAAATTTGTCGCTCCAATTGGGTACAAAAAAATGTACCAAACCCTAACATAGCGTATCTCAAAGTAAAAAAGGAGTAGAACAATACTGTAAAGTCTAAAAATTTGTCACCAATTTGTCGCTGAAAGGCAGAACTTTTACCCATTTTATCGCTAGCCTGCCGTCCAGCTTTTCTGCGAAAAACTACTAGAGAGGCGCTAAGCTGTCACTGCACCTCCCATATCTCAAAATAGAAAGAGGGTAGAAAAATTCTGTAAGGTCTAAAATTTGTCACCAATTTGTCGCTGAAAGACGAAACTTTTACCAATTTTATCGCCAGTTACTCCAGCTTTCCTGCGAAAAACTACAAGACAAAGCCTGCACCTCCCATATCTCAAAATTCAAATGTGGTAGAAAATTACTGTAAGGTCTAAAATTTGCACCAACACGACATTTCCATTTCGAAATTTTCACTGCCACTTAACAATCCTCCAATTGTTTTCCACTGATCAGCTGGTAGCTGAACTCGTGACAAAATGGGCACAAGTACTATCCTTCAGCGACAAATTAGTGACAAATTTTAAACTAAATCGTATTTTTTTACCCTATTCTAGTATTTCGTCTATTTTACAGTAACGACAAATTTTTGTATTTAATAACAAATTAGCGACAAATAATAGTACACAGTATTATATATAAATAAAAAAGATAACATTCTCGTGCTGGCTTAACATATACGTTGTTCCATGCTATTTGAAAGTTTTCTCAGTTTTGTTATAATATTTTGAGGGAAATCTTCGGTTTTCCGTATCCGAAATTCGGCAATGAATGAAATTGCGCCTTACCATAATCTGCTTAAAATCTATAGCCCGAGGATGTGAATCTTCAACATGAGACCGTAAAGAAACGCCTATATCGATCTGTGGAGGACGCTAAGGGGAGTAAAAAGCGACGCGGCAGCCTTCCTGCTACGCATGAAAAATGTCTGCCAACAATTTTCTCGGACAGGATAGCAAACATTAAATCCGCGTCTAGCGACAAACTTTTTTCAGCGCGGACGAGTGTTTGATTTTATTGAGTCAATGTATCATCAGAACAAGGAGAAAAATATGAGAGAACCTGCTGATGCAGCACACTACCAGATTTATAAAAAACTTACATGAATAAGGGGCATATAAAGTTGCTTATAGGGCATTATTTTTCTATTGGCTTTTTTTTGTAATGCAGCCCTTAGATCCTTACACCGAAGTAGGAACTTATTGGAAAAAATTATTAGAAAGTGAAGATTGTTTCAAACTACAAATAAACAATTACAAAAGTAACTTAAAATAAATAAATAAATGTTTACTATATTTGAAAACCATCAAGTATCCGACGATATAATACATACGAGCAAGCATACGGGTATTTTGGCGTCGGCACCGCGACGCTTGATTATGATTTCTGCCACAAGAGGCGCCGAATGAATACTACATGGCTGCGGTTTGCTGGTTAATAAACCCAAATTAATATTTACCGTACTCCCAGTGAGACATACGGTGTGATAATAATATTTCTCTAACGTACTTGTTATATGAAGAAGAAAGACAGGATACAAAAACCAAAAAAAAAAATTGTAAACAATCACAATAATATTTAAAGCCTAAAATTCTTGCATACCTTATAAACAATAATTTTTTAATCTAATAAAACACGTATCTTCATTAAGGAAGAAAACAATTTTAAAAAAAAGAGCAGTAAATTCAGATATAACTAATTAATTTAGCCAATTATATACATACATATAAATTTAAATTTTACTTTATTATTGTTGTTTGTCAACTATATCATCTATAAGTTCCCATTTTAAAAGAGGTTAGGCGTACATTAAAACTGGTAGAACGTTCTTTAGTCCTTTTTTTCAACAGGCTTTCTGTTTGTCCAATATAGTCCTTGCTGTATTCCAAAATTTTGCCCTCTCATCTGTGATATCTCTGCTGTTTTTAATTTGATTACCTTATTAGGAATTAAGTACATCTCGCAAAATTTCATTAAATCCGCCTATATGTCGACTATAAATGGTAACAATGCATTGCGGTGATTAGTGAGAAAAACTAACTAAAAAGAAAATTCTTTCAATATGAAAATCATTAAGAGAAACCCTTCGACAATTCCACTCGATGTTAATTCAGAACGTTTACAACATCATTCATAGAATGCCAAATGGATTCAATGTAAGTGCGCGACATTTTGCGTTGTGGCAGCTGTCAACTCCACTTTTCTCTCCAATCTTTCAGCCACCAGATCGACCAGACACGACGAGGAATAGGAGGCCATGGACGAAGGAGAGAATAGATTGATATTACTTTATTTAAGATGGTGGCCGAAAGAGAACGATAATGCCGGAGAGCGAGTGAGAAGGGGAGAGAGTATGTGTTCGTGTGTGACGAAGACGAAAGAGAAAGAGAAGGTGGAGGGTTAGGGTGGAAAACGGACCGAAGAAATGCTTGCGGTCGCTGTTCTATCTCGTTAGAGTTGAAGGAGAATGCTGAAGCCTATGGGATACGACCACTTGTTCAAAAGTAACTAAATGGTCATTCTGAAATATTTAATATGAAGAAGCTTTTCCCAAAATATATTACCTATCTACTGAATAAAATCATCACAGATCATCAACGAAGAAAAGCTAGAAATATTAGTTAGGAACAATTGTCGAACAAAGTACTTTATATTAGAAAATGCAAAGTATCCAACTTTGTATGGAATGCAACTAATATCCTTCAAAATTATCCTTTAACATTGTCAAATGGTTATAACTTCCTTAGAAGGTTTCAGTTTTGAAACAATTAATCATTTTACTTTTGGTTGTCATTGTTTAAATTGGAAATGGGTCGGATAACCTGTTTGCATTCGGTACCCAGCGGATTCGGGATAATGGCGCCACCTAAGTAATTCTACCAGAGAAAAAAGGAAAAACAAGTATAACGAAAAGCCTATCAAAAGAAAATTAGTAATTAACATTACATTTCGTGCGTCTTATTTTGTATTATTTATTGATTACTATGTGAGTAGAAAAGGTTAGAAATGAAGAGGTATTGGAAAGAATAGGAAAACAGAGGACTCTATGGAAGTCAATAAAGGTTGGTAGGACACCTTCTCAGGGATGAAGGTCTAGTCAGAGACATATTAGAGGCAGAAACAGGAGTTAGGAGGGGTAGAGGTAGACCTAGATTAGATTACTGTTCGCAAATAGTTAAGGATGTGGGCTGTTCTAGTTTTAGGGAAATGCGAAGATTAGCTAAGGATAGGAAAGAGTGGAGGTACGTGTCCAACCAGTCTTAGGACTGACGACCTTATGATGATGACGATGATGATTGATTACTATAGTAAATTATTTGTTATTTTGATATAGTTTCTGTGTTTACTTTTTCTAGTGAACAATAAGAATAAGTCAGTTTTACTGAACTGTTATAATTTCTGTAGCTTATCGATATATCAAGTTTTGATTAACAATAATTTATAAAGTATGATTTTGTAACCTTGCAGACATTTAATGTCTATAAACGTTAATACAGACTCGTTTCAACGGATTTAACTTAACCCTCTCGTTGAAAATCCACCAACCAAGAAATAAAATTTCGTTGGTTCAACATTTTGAATGGGACTAATGTGGTTTGGGATGTTGCGTTGTTGAAGATGGTATATATGGTATAACCATTAACCAATCTGATTTCGCCCGGCTAATGCTAGGTACACCGCTATCCGATCCGGAAAAATCAGTATCCGGTGTATCTCTAGTTTAAATTTTAATTGATTTTGGTATAATTTAAACCACAGAAAACATAAGCTGCTTGTTCTGAAAAAAAGGCAAAATTGAATGGAACAATTCTTCCTGATAAATCCTTAAGTAGAGCTAACATATTCGTCATATTTCAAGTAATTTAAAGAAAAGTTTCTATGATTTCTTCCTGGAAAATGTTCTCTTGAGTATAGTATAGTCATAAAAGGAATAAGATGTGTCCTCTTAATATTTTATGTCTCAGAAACTATGGTCGAATAATAAAGGCCTTATTTATAACCGTTCTTCGTTTTCCAATTGTGTGACATATCCATATAACTTTAGCGCTTTTATTTGACATTTATATAAAGGACTTTGTTGTCTAATTTGGACATTAAAATTTTATATCTCGTGGCACTAAATAAACCGAGAAGAGAACGGGAAAACTTTAGAAGCGCACGCTCGTTTTTCTTTTAGTTTTTTTTTTGTCTATTGCTTTCTTCTTTTTCCTCCGGTCATAAAATGAGTTTCTTTCCCGCTCTGATGTCCTCCATGCAAAGACAGTAAAAAGACAATAAAAGAAAAAGCACATTCCAGTTAGTTTCGACGGGTACGATCCACACCCGTTGTTTACCATTCGCTCTCCTGCTCTTGGATGAAGTTGGTTCGCTAGTTGTGAGGGGATGATTCTTCGAGCAACTTTCCAAGCCAACGACTACGGGATATTAAAACTACCCCTCAACATTTTAATTACATTGTAAAATTATTTTATTTGAGAAACAGGAAGCATCAGCAACTTTATTGTATCATAAATGTGGTACAGGTAGATCAAAAAGAATTCATACAATTCAAATAAAAAAAATTTTTTCATAATCTAATCTACCTCTACTCCTCTTAAATCCTGTTTCTGCCTCTAATATATCTCTGACTAGTCCTTTCATGCCTGAGAAGGTGTCCTACCAACCTATCTCGCCTATTTCCTTTTGCGCTCTCTGTTCTCCTTTTCTTTCTAATATATCGTCATTTCTAACCTTCTCTATCCACGGTATTCTCATCATTCGCCTATAACACCACCTTAGAACGCTTCTTTTTNTTGAGGGCTTCATTATTGACGAAATTCAATTAGAATGGTTAAAAAACCACTAAATATCAAGTGTAGTATCATCATCATCATTAGTGCATCTTTGCATTTCCCTAAAACTGCAACATCCCACATCCTTAACTATTTGTGAACAATCTAGGTATACCTCTACTCTTTTTAACTTTTATTTTTCTGCTTCTAATATGTCTCTAACTAATCCTATGCCTATAGAAGTGTCCCACTAACCTGATAATAATTATTTTATAATAGTAAATAGCGAAATTGATATTCATATCGTCTGTATTAATTGTAAATTGTTCAAAAAAATTCACATATACTGGTTTAAGTTAAATCAGAAAAAAAATGTACAAAACAAGTGAAAACGCTATTAAGTTAACATCTCTAAGCTAAACACAAAATAATTTCACGCCTTTGTCAGAAATATGAGGAATAATATGTTTCGCCACTTAAGCAGGCATCTTCAAAATTGTAAAAGGGCTAAACATACCTAAAGTATATTAGAAAATGCAAAATAATTCCATTTGAAATGTCCGAAATAATTCGATTTTCCTAAATAATTAATGAAATTAGTTACCTACTTACTATTTTTTCAACAAAGTAACTCTTTAATACTTAATATCCTGAAGTACCCTAGTTATTACAACCACAGGGGAAAACGAGTGAAATGTTACAAACGTTTTCCTTTAAATGCATAATAACCATTCACGAAGTAAAAGCTAACTCAATCATATTCTTGAAAACTTTCCAAAATTGGTTTCCTAAATCAACCCTACGTTAAACATGTATTTGTCAAATACACATTTTAATCTTTATTTAATAGTATATGCGAGAAATTTTCAAAATATCTGTGCTTAGCCCCCCCCCTCCCAAGTAAAACAAAAAGCCGATAAAATTTTTTTTTTTTGGAATCAAATAAAATTTGAATGTAACGAAGTGTATTTTGTACTATTCGTTTGATATTTTCCTCTGATTTCTTTCTCTCAGCAGTCGTCGAAGCAAACAAGATTATGCACAATAAACTTTCGTTGGTATTAAATTATTTAATTTCGCCCCGTGGTGGGGTTGAAGTGTAGTGAATAAGACCAAGATGTAACTTTGTTAGCGGAACACAACTGAATTATGTTCTTATAATGTTTTGAACGAGAAAAAGTGGCGCTTTCCCAACTTTGCTTTCTCCCAGTCGGTATTCAGCAGGCGGTCGAGACGTAATGTGGTACAACACAACCCTTACGAAGACGGGTGGCGGTAGACATCTTGTTTTTCAAGTGAAACAAATCGAAAATTTTCACGTTTTTCGGCATGCGCCTTATCTAACATAAATCCGCAACCTACCACACGTGTTCAAATAATTAAGTGATCCCAATTATTTATTTTTTTAACGAAGGACTCTGCATGTTTTAAGCACCAATGTAAATCTGTGTAAGTTTGCCATACAGATTTCTATTTATATTTATTATTTTAAAATTTGTTGAAACATTTCTGCAAAATAATTTTATATTTCTATTTACTCGATGGAATCTCATACATAGATCACATTATCTACGTAATATAGTAAATAACTACATATTCTGGTGTAAAATTCTATTATTAAGCATCTGATGAAACTTCTTAATAAGGCAAAAGGCAAAATTATTAAGTGTGTTAATATAGGTAATTTTGTGTAAATCAGCGTTGAGTTTTATTAATATATTTCATATATGTAATACAAGTGATTAAATTGAAGAAAAACTAAAGATCAGTTGTACCTGCGCCTTCATCAAAAATATTGCATAAATTACTTTATTTTTGAGTTTTTAGTATTAAGGAATAAGAATATACAATAGTTTTAGATTTCCATCTATAGTTTTATCATTGAAGAAGATATTTAGACTAATTGTATAAAGTTTTCAAGTATAATACATACATTTTACACATAATAAAGTTTAACAAAGAATTTCTTGGATTTTAAAACAATATTTTCAATGAAATTGTAACAATTCCAGTACTCTATCATAAATCCCTAAAGGATAATAAGCCTCTCCAGGTTCTTAATCCAAATTAAGCACTATTCAGAATGTTTCTGGTTAGACTTATAGGAAAATTGCTTAATTTTCCTTATATTACCTGTTCGGTCTGTTTTTAGTACGGAAAATTTAAATGATTGTGGTTTAAAATGAAGGTTTAAGTGAAGGAAAATCTAAACTTTACTTACTTTGTAAATTCATAGTGGACGGAAACATTGCAGCTCGGTGATGAACGTCCTGGACATGTGGTCGTCCCCCCATAACCGCACACTGGGAAGTCGGCGTTCCCGGATGATGTATGGACATTGCACCAGCTCCAGCCCCAGGATTATACGATCTGGCCATCGAAGCAGCCGAATACCTGTAGGCGGCCTGCGACATTTGGCTGCAGGATGTTATGTCCCCGTAGGATCCTGGCATGTTCGCCAAAGCCGTCGGATCCATTCCCGTTCCTTGTAAACAAGTCGAATCAAATCCTGCAGCCGCCGCTTGGTTAAGATAAGAATAATCCATCCTTTTGATAGCGTATCACCACAACCAAGAGACTATTTATTGAAAATATTGTTGGATTTGGTCCCGAAAAATCTATCCAATTGAAAAAGGATAATCGACTATTAACGATAATCCAAATAGTCAAGTTGATCAACGAAAGTAAGACAATAAGGATGATGTTATCGATATGATTTTGTTGTGCATTTCCCGACGGGTACGAAGTTTAATTAGTTAAGTAATGAGTGGAGGTTTGAGGAGAGGTAGCGCCGGCTGCTATAATTTCTTGTTAAGTCGTGAATCGGTTATCGAGGTCTGATAGTCGGCTTAAAGGGTAATCAAATCAAGAGCTAATATCAAATTATGGCGATCACGGGTAATATCACGGCTTTTTCAAGAGAAACGCGCGTATTCGAGAAGAGACCCGACTGCTATTCGCTTCGAAAATCAAATGATAAGCTAATTCAATAACGTTGCTCTGTGCTCAGGATGGAAAAGAAAAACAGGGGTTGAAACGAGGCGATGGGGGTGCAGCGAGCAAGGCGGAGCCACCACGTATGGCTCACGTGCGCCCTCCAATGGCGATTCTGCGCGCTATCGGGACAACACCACCCCATTGGACACGGAAGTGACGTCACAACCCCGACACACGCGATCACGTCTTCTTCGTCTTCGTGACACTTCCAAAGTACCGAAGAATATTAAAACGCACGCACTTTAAATCGAATTTTCGCAAGAGATAACGAATTTTTCCACCCTTCTTCAGGTGGGGGGAAATGACGTCTACATCCTTATTCCGTTTTCTGACAAGTCGAAGCAACAGATCCAAACATAAACAAAAGCATATCAACACATCAAACTCAGTATAGAATATTAAACGTCTTATCGATTGCGTATCGACTGATAAATATCGAAGAAAATCCAATAATTTGTGTAATTTCGGTGGAGGCGCCGGGAAGGAAAATCTTTTTTACGGCATAGATATAGTTTCCACGGGAAATTTACGGTAGGTATAACAGCAATAAGTTTACAACAAATTAAACCAAAAAAAATAAATTAAAAAAAATAAAATAGCAAATTGAAACGGCTTACCTACTAGAAACCAATGAATTCAAAGCTCAAATGAGGCATGAAAAACCTTAAGTGAAAAAGTGACAGATTTTTGTACTAGAGTCTCAATGGGTGAATAGAAGATAAAACATTTAATAGAAGCCATAATTTCTAATGTTTTTATTGTTGAACAAAATTGAACTTTGTCTTGAAGTCTTGGACTTGATCATGCAAGTCTTAGTCTTAATCATGCAATACCAAAACCAAGACCGAACGAACGAGACCAAGGCTAAAACCAAGACTGTAAATTCTCGAGTTTTCGCATGTATGACAGAAAATTTCAGCAGTTTAGACAATTATTGCGTCGGTAAATTGAAAAGTTTGTGCTTAGAACAATTATTAAAAAAACGTTAGACCAATACCAAAACTATATCTAGTACCTAATGTTGTTGAAAAATTTTCTTCTACAGGAAACAAACGAATATATCTGGTGAAGTATTATTTCTTAAGCTTTTCTTATAGAAAACTAAAAAGTTGAATGAATGTCACCAGTAGGTAAATACGAAAGAGTCAAAATTCTTCTGAAAGAAGAACCTTCTCATATGCAAGAACTTACAACAATTGAACCTGTTGGAACGAAAAAAGAAGAACCAAAATTTTAAATCGCTTATCGCTTGGAATTCTATACGAAAGAAATGATTTGTTAAATTGTAGCGTAGCAAATGTTACCTTAGACGAATAATTGTAATTTCTGCAATAATTATTAAAAACGTAATTGAACCGCCCTCCGAAGATGTTAATTGCTATTAATTTCCATAATTGGCGCACAAGAACAGCCGAGCTTTCGCCCATTATCGTCCATTAACTCGTATCATGCGACAAAATTTTATTACTCTGTCTTCATTTAAATGTACATTTCAGACCGCAGCCATTACCAATTTTGCCGCGTGTTATTGCACGAATTGCAATAATTCTGCATTAATTTCAATAATGTCATCAATTTTCAATTATCGCGTCCTACTCGATTTGATTTCGCTCATCGGTGACGACAACGTCACGCACAAATCCAACAGCTTCCAATATTTCAATTCGTCACAAAATCCATTTTTATAAATCGTATCCATACTTAATTAACATTAATCCCTTTTATCCAAAATCGAGCTCCACTTACGGCATTAATCAAAAAGAGTTTAAAAATTTTGCATTGTCAAATTATTGAGGTCACCCCTGTAAATTATGAGCTACATTTGTTGGACATAATTAATACACACTGGAGTTTCCGTCATGTCGTGTTCACACTGTAGTCCTTTCCAGCGGTAGGAACCCTAAAGAACTCGTAATTTTGATAGGTGGGAGCCACCTGGTTCCCCAATAGTCAACAATTTATAAATTTTGGCTCCTAGACAAAGCTTCTGAAAATAAAATTGCTTCGAATGTGTTGGGGTTGGGAGTTGAGATAGATGATTGAGGAAAAGAGTCAAGTTATTTTGCTCTGGTCAATCGAAGTACGAACTTTCCGCCAGCTTTCAGTAAACAGTTCGTGTTTCACTTAAATTGAAAAGATTTGGCAGCTGATCGGGAAAAATTACTACTTATAAAGTTGCCTGGCGCACATATGGAACAGGGAATCCGGAACAAATCGTTTTCGATGGTGTAATAAATATTGTACACTGTACCGGAAGGCTTTGTACATTACTACTTTTCAACGGTCACATTTAATATTCTATAAAAATTAATAAGTTAAAACTGCATAAAAATATTAATAAACCACAACAGCCTGTAACGCAATAATAATAGTTTTCGATAGATATATATATACGATTTTAATTAAATTTGTATTTGGAATTTCTTCATCTAAAAAAACAATTATTATTATTATTGTGTTATACATTATTTTTTGAAACTGTTGTGCTTTCTATTAGGTATAAATTTTAATTATTATTATCTCGGCATAATTTTAATTAAAATATATCAAAGAAATTTATCGATAATTTATAAAAAGCGAATAAATGCAAGACGTATGGGGATTCAAAGAAAAATAGACTTGTATAAAAATCAGGACAAGGATAAAAACTGATGGCCAGTGACTTATGATCCTCATTGCCTGAAGGCATCTAGAATCCTCCGAGAACATTTCCCATATGTATTCCTTCTGGGCTTTTTCTCCACCAATAAATTACTCGGGATATTACTAGGCATTAATATGTGACATAATTTTGTGTTGTTGTTGAATTTTACATTAGTAAAACATTAGATATAGTATTAAAAAAGTTTTTAAAATAATTTATTTTGTATTAGTGGCCAATTTGACTTTATTTCCTTTCCTGAAAATGCAAAAATATTCTCGACTCTCAGTAAAACTGTGAAGGAAAGGCAGTGTCCAGATTGAGGCTCCATTCCCTAAATTATTTAGCAGTTTGTCCAAGAGGCAGTGCTCTTTACTCCTTAGATTCATTCGAAATCCCTTGAGAATATCTGGACCATGTCTACTTCCAAAGAGAACACTGTTCATTCGCCTAATTGGCAACCCCTAGCAGGTTGCAGGAAATTTATAGTTTACAGTCAGTTGAAATAAGTAGTACAATAAATTAATATATTTCCCAAAAATGATGCAATATTAAAGAGAGAGGATAGTTTCATAATTTTTTATCATGATATCATCATCATCATCATCATCATCATCATCATCTCATAAAATTGTCAGTCTTAAGACTGGTTGGAGACGTACCTCCACTCAATTCGAAATATTTATTCTATAATCATATAACTACATGTTTTTCTTGATAGTGTACTATTATTTTATTTATGATAAGTAGTCCTTTAAGTATATTTGTGTATATATAGTTTACCAATGCGTAAGAAATCAAAAAAATGTAATGTTCAACTCAACATATTTATTAAATGCGTCTAATTTTCCATTCAATTTTAAACAACATAAAATTTTCTTTTTTGTGTTTTTTCACAAAGTGTTAACTTCATTTCGACTCAACCTCTCCAAAATACGCAAAATAGCCAGTTTAGTCATTTTCTACGTTCTTTTTAATTTCCTCAGCCTTCCAGCATAGATCCTTCCACTTCTTGTAGATTTCAAATCCGAACTACGAGTAGAAATCTTCTTTCCCCTTCTCCTCGAAGCTTTCCTTAATGCCGCGGCTTTCGTAGAAAGAGCTTTCAGTTTTCGTAGCTCCTCAAGACAAAGCCTACAACTTGGTCTCTTTCTTTTGTATTTACACTTCTTATCTGTAAAATAGCTCTTGTATTTCCTGTTCCTTTTCAGCCTTCTCCTTTGTCTTGTCATCATATAGGATTCGGTGGCATGCAAAGATGTGGCATAATCCATATTGTCAGCGAAAAAGATTGCTTGATCATTTAGTCCTTCAGTCTTACTTCTTCTGTCATTCACACAGGAAGCTTCTTCATTTGTTGTTGTGTTTCCACCACTGTCGGTGATTGGAACTGAACGTTTGGAATGATCCAAATCAGAAGTCGTTAAACTGTTGGAGGTAGCATCTTCTTCACGGCTACCAACTTGCTTGATGTATAATTTATTTCTAATAGAATTACTACTTCTTGTTTGTGCTTGGGCAACATCCTTGTTACTTGCAAGGATGTTCAGATCAGCTTGCGATGTACAATACTTCTTAAAAAGTTGAGCTTCTAGTTGAGGATCATCTAATTCGTCTTCGTCCGGGCCATTTTGGGTTACACGTTTTCTGTAGTATATGCCAACAGTCTTGCTGTCTTTATAATCAGCAATTGACCGTTTTTGAGACATACTAGACTTGGAATGTCTCAGACAACAGCTACTTCTTCGGTCCAAACACAATTTAGAAACCTTTGAAGGAGCACGACGAGGTGTTTTAGATTTCTTCTTTTTGGTGCCTGGAAGAGATCCTGAAGTGTTAGAATTTGTATCGTTTGACACTTCACCGATCTTTTGAAAACTTGTTTTAGACGTGGAGGACATTTCTGTAATGTCTGTGCAAAGGTACTTCAGTGCATCCTTCTTCTTTTCGTTGGTCCCTTCCGATAGGTTTTTAAGTAACCAGGACTTGTGGAGGTGTTTCTTCGGGCGGTTGCTTCAAAAATAAATTTATCAGTTTAATTAATGAAAGTTTTTATGGATGTTATTTTTACCCTGCTCGCCTTCTTCTGCTAACGACCATCAGCCCCTTTGAAATACCTTTCAAAATGTAGTACAGTCCACAAGCTATGACTCCCAATGATGGGCGAAGTAATCCTAGAATTGCAGGCTAAAAAGTCAACGTTTTTTTTTTATTATTCGTCTGTGATTTAGTTGTTTCACTTACTAAACATCCTGTGATAAATTTTGTGGGTGCATTGCTCCTGGTAATTGCCATGATACGATTTTTGTCAAGAACACGCCTTAAAATAATTGTAAGAACCGTTGCAGAAGATCCAACAGCTATATTCATTTTACAACTTCAAAGGGTTTTTGTTCAAGTCTTGGTCAGACCCCTGTCATTCTCCCTATAAATGTATCAGATGTTTACTTCTTCGGAAACAATTTCGCAAATAAAAAAATGTTTCAAGATGTTACAGTCGATATAAAATTAATCTTTATCATGCAAATATTATTGAAATTATACTAAACCGAGATTTTGTTATTTTAACATTGACAATGATGCCGTAAAATTCATCTTGACATTTCAGTAACTTGTCAATCGAACAGATAATTAAAAATGAATCATGATTTTATTTCAAATGTGATTTATTGACAAACACTTGATAGTGTTAGTTTAGAATTTTTTTACAAGACATTTCACCCTGCGAAACCAATGTTTCTGTCCCTTTGCCGAAGGTAGTAAGGATATATATCTGCCATTATGAAGTACACAATGAAACCACATAAAACTATGATTGGCCAATTGGGCTCGTCTGAATATGGCAGTACCTAAAAACAAAACCAATTTTGTCGTATTTTTTTCTGTTATATGCAGTTCTGATAACTAACCGTCCTCTCTTTCAATCCCCTAAAAATATTTTTTGTTACAATATGTCGTTTCGAAAATAAGGAATCGAAGAACCTCCTAAAAAATATTGTTATAAATGTGGCCACCACTTTGGCTACTCTTAATTTATGTTTTCGGGACATTTCGCAAAGAATTGACAAACCGTTTTGAACAACCGCGAAATCCAAAGCTAAACAATTTCGACATTCTGGACAATCTGCAAATTTCTTCAACACTAAAACAGACGCTAATTGTTAATAATAAACATAATTAAAACAAACACGCAGGTAGGTACTTTGAAATAGTTTTTAAGAAGTACGTTTGCACTAAAATTTTGAAATTTCTCCTAAAACTGACTTTTTTATGTGTCACTTTTTGTCATTAAATCAATTTAAATCTTTCTCGCTAATATTGTATGTATCCATTACAATTAGGGTTGCCACCCGTACTTTATTATAAAGTATTGTACTCTATTTCGACTGTGCGTACGTTATACTTTACAAGACACATAAAGTACGCAAAAATACTTTATTTAAGGCCTTAAGTAAACATCGTAATTTTGTAAGCGATTATTCGAAATTTAGAGTATTTTTACATCAATAATATTGCACAGAAAAATGGCAAGGCATATTTACGGAACAACCTGATTTCCCGAATCTGTTCAAAGTAGTTTCACTTTTGCTGTCCGTTCCGGCCACTTCAGCATTTACAGAAAGAGTATTCTCTGTTATGAACGCAAACTGGCTGGGCGACAGGAATAAAGCCTCATTAAATCTAATTAGAAATGAACTTTTTGTTTACTTAGATTTTTGTTTGCCATGTTTAGAGGCTATTAATGTATTTAAGAGCGACAGCAATTTGTTACTGGCTGCTAGGTGTAACAAAAAAAAAATAAAATACTTTATTCTTACGCTGAGTACTTTTTTTTAACCTTTTAGTCGAAAAATACTTTATGTAAAGCCTGAAAAGGTGGCAACCCTAATTACAATCCCTCTGTATATTATAAGTAATGAAATCACCCTGTATGGGGTCTCGTCAATACTGTCCTGATCAAGTTATAAAATTACGTCCCCGAAATAATTGTACTGCGAATCCTGAGGGAATTTAGCGTTGTGTCCCTCCCGCGACGAAGCCGACGCTCGGCGTCGTTCGCCGCGTAGCGTCGGTCCGCGGTGTCAGCGTCGTCCGCCGTTTATTTACGATGAGAAGCGCGTTCCCGGATGGATCGCACCGGGAATTCCCTCGGGGCCCTCGGGGCGCTTCGGATGCGCCATTTAGGTGACAAACAGGACAAAACAGAAAATTCGTGGAAATTATAAATATGTACATACATAAGAAACGCAAACGCAAAAAAAATATTGTTATATAAATATATGTACATTTACAAACTGTTTAATTTTTTCTTTTTTTTGTCTTTTAAAAAATATTTTTAGTCTAAAATTTTCGTGAAAATGTTACCTCTCTACAAAAAGAATTACATTGCAACATCAGCGACAAATTTTCCCTCATTAACCTGAGGTAGTATATAGTAGGGAAAAAAATTGAAAATGAATTTTCACATTAAAAGGAAATACTTCGAATATCCCAAATAAATAATACTTCCTAACAAATCCTTAGCTTTAAATAAAATGACAGATCAGTACTGTATGTAAATGAATAAAAGTAAAAATAAAATACTGGTATGCAAGGGAAGAAATAGTAGGAAAAGAACGAATATAAAGATAGGAGACGAAAAATTAGAAGAAGTGGCTGAGATACCTAGGAAGTCAGATAAGTCAGGATGGAAGGAGTAGTAGGGATATAAAGCAGAGAATAGCGTAGGGTCGTGTCGTCTTTAATAAAAAGAAGTCACTTCTATGCTCGCAAACGGTTAATTTAGAAATTCGAAAAAAGGTTGTTAAAGGGGTATGTTTGGAGCACGGCGTTGTACGGGTGCGAAACATGGACAGTGGGCGCGGCGGAAAAGAAAAGGTTAGAAGCGTTCGAAATGTGGTGTTATAGGCGGATGATGAGGGTAACGTGGGTAGAAAAGGTTAGAAATGAAGAGATATTGGAAAGAATAGGAGAACAGAGGACTCTATGGAAGTCAATAAAAAATAGGCGAGATAGGTTGGTAGGACACCTTCTCAGGCATGAAGGTCCAGTCAGAAACATATTAGAGGCAGAAACAGGAGTTAGGAGGGGTAGAGGTAGACCTAGATTAGATTACTGTTCGCAAATAGTTAAGAATGTGGAATGTTCTAGTTTTAGGAAAATGCGAAGATTAGCTCAGGATAAAAAAGAATGGAGGTACGTGTCCAACCAGTCTTAGGACTGACGACCTTATGATGATGAACAAATCCTTAAGAATTAAAGTTCGTCCCAAAATTACATAAAGTCTGACCGATAAATAAAACATCAAATGTAATTTTAATTAATTTAATTATATGTATGATAAGGATCTGGACCCCTTATCAAATCCCTTGGGTATGCCCCAACACTTGTGCGTGATACCACCCTGTGCAAAAGTAATGATGAATTACAATCATACAAAAAATATTCGATAGTGCTTTTGCATGTAGGTATGTATAGTGACTCGACTTTTTAATTCAAAATTATCAAAGTATTGAAACGGCGCCCTTGTTTAAAACAGATCAATGATCCTTCAATTTCCAATACATCGATACGTCACAGGGTGTCAACCGGATGATAAATGTTTGATTTGGATTCTATTCAGATGTAATGACGACCTAAACTTTCCTTTACACCCAACTACAGCATCCGTTATTAATGCGGTTATTTCTCCGTCTCTTTATTTTCATTGTTAATCCACTAGTCCGCACGTGTCAGACGGAAGCCCGAACTGAATGAGCACGTGTTTACAGATTAGATGAACTATTGTCTGGTCCAATAACATCAAGCCCTAATATGTTAAGTGCTTATCAAATAGGAAAAATCAAAAGTCAAACGTCCGTTCTCCAGCACACTCTAAATCCACTTATCTAAAATATTTTATTGATCTTCATTTATTTTATCATTGTTTTAAAGAGTAACTAGGCAGGTAATAACAATTATTGGTTTTCTCCAATTTTTATCACTATTAAAACAATGTGTGTAATTGTTTTAAATTAATTTTTTGCTTTTTCTTGTTTCAGAATCGAGAAAAGAGAACAACATGAAAGGTAGGACGACATCTTACCAATATAATTAAGTAATTAATTATTTACAAGTCGCTGTATACCTATATAATACAGTGCATCAAATAATATACAGATAAAATATTTTACATTAAGTAATACAAAAATATGTGATGATATTTAATAGCCCATCTATTTTTTTAAAAGACTGGCGGGGATTTTCTCTAATTGCTTTAATTACATATGTTACCAATTTCGTATTTAACATAATATTTTATTTACCAAATAATCTTAGCAACATAACAGTCAATTTTTAATTTTTTATTGATCTATAATCCAAACAGTATACGTATCCAAATTTTTATTAAAAACGGAAAAATTATAGTCAGATTACCTCTACTGTCGAAAAATGCACTTTATTGTATTTTCTCTAGTATTAATTAAACGTGAAGTGTCTCAAATATCGAAATACATAAAAAAAATGTATTACTTGAAAGTTAAAACACAAAAAAGTTTTTTAAAAATATTAAAATTCCGCCCAGTGGAAGCGTATTCTATAGGAGAAAAGCTGAACTGTTAGAGATTCAGCTGTCAGACACTGTTTCTCGTGGGTTACAATTTTGCTAGCAAATACCAGATGGAGCACGCTGTCCGTAATTTTATTTTAATATACGGGTGGCATTTTATTATTTTTCAAATGATATAAAGGGGTTAATAAAAAAAGACATATACAGACATTTTATTGTATAATCCTACAACTTGAAAAATAACTAATTAATAAATTTAGTCATACAAAAAGGAAATATGCAATAAAATATTGCAAAATTGCTTATTTTACACCATTACAATAATTTAGAAGTATATATTACAAATAACATAATAAATATATGTACACACAAAGATAGATAATAATTAAATAAATAATTTACGAACAGATTATGTAGGTATATTTATATACACATAAAGTTAAAATTGGGTTTAAACGTCTCGCCTGATAACTACCTACATAATATTTTTTTGATTTTTGAACAAGATTAAATACACTTTAATGATAATTAATTAAACAATAATAATACTGACGCAGCAGTTTTTTTTTATACATGTATGTACTAAACATTGTTTTTGTAATTTGTTCCAATTATTAAATTGTACAACAACGAATAACAAAAAAAGACACAAATTTATTAAACGTAAGTTTCAAAAAGTGTTTAAAATTATACAGGACACATATGGGACGCGCTGTATAAACAAATATTTATAAAACTGCGAATCAACAAATTTCTCAACGAAGTGAAGCGTGTTAGGTAGCGATAATAAGACGTGTCCTCGATCACATTTTCTCGAAAATTCAAATACAACAAAACAGTTTCCGTAAAATTTAGAAAGCACAATAATTATTAATAAACGATTTAATATTAGTGAATCAGTAAACAGTTAAAACTATTCTTTCGAACTTTACCTTGACACTTTCGTTTTGGTATCGCGTAATACTTAACTCCTGTTACGTATTTCACTATAGACTACTAAAACACACCTATATCTTGCAGATAAAATAAATAAAAAAGAACGCAATGAAATACAGTTCAATATTTACTCCGAGACGGGCAAAATCTGGGAAGGTGAATAGCGCTTTAGAGGGGTGAGTTTTAATCGTATTTTACCCTACATACGCGCGCAGCGCTTCGTACGTAGTAATTGTACGAAATAAAAACAAATGAATAAATAATAAACAAAAGTCTGTTTCAAATTTAACAATAACAAAAACAGTGCTTATTAGATCTACTCAATTAACAATTTTCGAAGAGTTTAGTATTAGCGATATATTAGGGGTGGTTCTTACCAATAAATGAAGCTTCCATTAACAATGTGTTGTCGCCACTTTTTGCATAAACAAAATGCCTATGGGATGGTGAAAAACAATGGATTTCGTCCAGTTTTGGTAATGTTGAGGCAATAATTTTTTCTTTGAACCCAACGATCCCTTTGTACACAAATACGATAAATGGCTGAGTGGGTGTATTTGTTAAAACGTACAACACTAGTTCGTCAGAAGGTAAAATTGAAAATTTTATTTGGAAAGGGGATTGCAGTTGAATGTCCTGGTATTTATCAAATTGCTGAGTTTTCAAATTAAGCCTGTAAAATGATAATAATAACAAGTGGCAGATAAAATTTTTTATCTGAATCTCAGTTTGTTAGTTACACTTTTATTTTATAAGTTAATTACTAATTAATTTTTACCAAAGCGTAAATAGTCGAACAGTGGAAAGCTGATGTTGATATTGTAATTAACGTTTATCAATTACAATAATGACGACAAATGAAAATAAAATGTACTACGTATAATAAGTTTACTTAAAGATCTTGAATCTTTTTTTGTAGAGTGTTGTGACTCGTTAAACGATTTTATTTTGATTGATTAAAGTAAAAATCAGTAAGTACGTACGTATATATACTATTATAGGAATACTAACTCATACCATTTTTAATCCTATATCTATATTTCTATATATTTATTTATATATTGACGTTGCTTCTTAGGTAATTTATATTTAAAG